CTGTTTAACTGTTTGATCCTTCAAGATTTATTCTAAGTTGCATTTTGGTAGACTTTTTCACCCCGTTTTGTTTTCAAATTTGGACTTCAAGGCTGGTTTTCATGGTTTATCTTGCTTGGTCTGCTCTTTTTGGATGCCTGGGATCTCATTTATGTGTATTGGAGTTGGTAACTATACCATGAGACGTATCGAGCTGCTGCCTTTCATTTTCGAACATCTGGGAACTGATTGGAGCGGCAGGGATGGTTTATGCAAAAGTTTTACGGATTTCCTAACTGCTTGCAGGTTTTGGCTTTTATTGTTGCGACCTTCACTGCATCGACAAGCCGTCAGTTTGACCCTGCTCTTCAACACCACTGTTACTATGGGATTTTATGTACACTGTTATTTTGGGACTTTATGTACATGTAATTTTTTCGGTTTACCTTTTCTTTTGATATACGTTTTGGATGATTACATGTACCTTTGGGGTTTTTTTTTTTTTTTTTTTTTTTTTTTTTTTTTTTTTTTTTTTGCGTTGTATTGCGGAGAGTGGAACCCCTAGGGGTTTGTTGTATTTTTTTGGTTTTTAGATGGGGATCCACTTTCCCTCCCTAACTATGTAATTTCCATTTAATTAACGCGTAAGGAGCCACGAGCTGATCTTTAATTATATATTATTGAATATAATATATTGTGAAGTGATTCCTGTTTATATCAAACTATACACAAATAACACTCACTAATTATGTTGAGGAAAATAAACATAATTTTGAGTGAAATAAAATTATGGTAATTATCACCCTAGTTTGAAGGTTGGGCAGAATCATCACTTAGTATATTAGACTAGTAAATTCACCTACTAAATCATAACAATAGACGGGGCAATTTTAAATAGTAGACCTGTCATTCCCTTACTACCACTAATAGCTCTCTTTACATCTTGCATGCCGCCTCTTTGCCACGCCTCTTCTTATCTCCCTCTCTCTCTCATTCTCTCACAATGGCTTTCATCAAACCTCATGCAATATGGTTTGGTTGTAGAAAGATCGATATGTAGCTTACAAATTTATATAATTATGTGACTTATTTTTTTCTAATTTGATCGAGCATGTACACAGACTAGGAGCTTGACCGAGAGCCATCCACTAAAGAGCTCCATGTCCTCACACATCGACGCCCGGACACACGGCAGTGGGTATCCAACCACATGTCATCCTGTCAATGTAAGTTTAAATTTTTTTTTTTTTTTTTTTTTTTTTGTGGGGGCGGGTGGGGGGTGTTGGGATTTTAATATTTTTAATGCCAATAAATGTTTAAAATTTATTTTGTAGGAGGAGTACGAGCAGCTCCGGGAGAGACAAAGGAAGATGAATAACCAAACCTCATGGGCAGCCAGTAGCAGTGGTAACCAGTCTACCACTCCTCAACCTAACTTTGAGTTGTGGACATAAGCGGTTGGGAAGAAGAAGGAGAGGTTGTAAAGCATGGGCAAATGGGAATATCATTTATAACTGAGTGCTCTTGTACAGTAGTAGGAGGCCCTAGCTTGCTATAAGCTCAGCATGAGAAGATTGCTAGGCAGTCCATGATGATGAATGAAGAACTCTTATAGATATGTGAAGGCCAGCAGAGTGCTGAAAATGGTCTAGCACGTCTGATAGAGTTTTGATTGCCGGAGCAAGCAACATATGAGTGTTGTTGAGGATGTGGAGGAGGAGTAGGATTAGTTTGTTATTATTTCTTTGTTGATTTTCCCCAATCATATGAGTTGATTGTATGTTCTTACATTTATGTATTTTTCTTATTTAGATGTGAACTTGAACTTTGAGCATTTTTATTCTTCTATATTTAATTTAGTTTGGTATCATTGATTTACATATGTTGATGATTTCTTTTATCAGTTCTGAGGATAGATAAATGTCATATAATGTTGCTTGTGTTTGTTCTGTGCAAGTTCGCCTCAGATTAGTATCAGAAAATTTAGACACTAAATAAGCAATATTTTATTCGATACCTAATCATACAAATTTGACGCTATTTGATGAAATAGTAACGAAATTGGCCAACGCTGATTAGCATCGATTATGGCCGACAATAATTAGGCCAACTCTGGTGGGCGCTAATTAGCTTCAGGCGATTTCGACACTAAAATGATGTTAGCCTAGCGTCAATCAATTTTTTGATGCAAATTCGCAGCGATAGAATTTTCCAATGCTTATTTGACATTAAAAAATATTTTACGCAAAAGTTGATGCAATATCGATTAACGATGCCCATTTTAACAGTCATTTTTTCAACGCTAATCCTATAATTTCTTGTAGTGTGTACATTGGATATGCTAAAAGACTTATTCTTGATTATATTACAAATTTTTACGATTTTTAATACTTGTTTCTCCTTTTCCAATAAAGAATGATATTTTATTTAATTTTAATTTGTTCAACATAGTGTTAGAGCTTGGATGTTTTCCATTTATATAATAAAATTCAACGTTTTTTCAAAATATCTTATATTCATTATAATCTGGATGAAATTTTAATATTTTTCCTATAGGTAGGTTTCGAGTTCTAGTTTTTGGTTTTCTTTTTCTTTACTTTATGACATTTCTTCTCTATTTTGTTTTATCTTTTTCTTTTGGTTTTTCTTGATTATTTTATGTGATTTAGTTTTCTTTCCAAATTTTATTAATCTATTTACCATTTCTATTTGTCCTTTTTAGTTTGTTGTTGATTTGTTTTTCTATTTTTATCAATTTCACAATTCTATGTGTATCTGATTCTTTCTGTTTTATAGTTTTTTTTTTTTTTTTTGGGTTTTTTTTTTTTTTTGGTTGTGTGGGGTTGATTTGATTTGGTAGGTTTTTGGAATCTACTTGAGACTTTCTTAATTTTTGCTGCAACATTTTACTCTTTAGCAATTTGGGTTGGTTGTGTGTTGGTGGGTATTTTTGTTTGACGTTGCATCAATTGATTTTTCTCTCTGTTTTCAAATCTTTTAATAGTTGGAAAGCTTTATTTTATTTTTATTTGTTTTAGTTTTTTTTAGGATATTTGATTGATTATTTGGTTACTACCCTTTGATTCTTTGCTTTTCAACTATTTTTGGTTTTTATTTGATATACCATTTCGTAATTTTGAGAGTTTACTATTTTTTTGAAATTTTAAGCTTATGATTTCATCTATTTGACTTACTTCATTAATTAAGGATGAAATTCTTTTCAACCATTGAATGAAGCTTAATATTGTTTTTGAATTTTATTTTTCTTTGATTTAGTGGGTGGAATTTGGCTACCTTTGTGGATAGATTGATTCATTAGTTTAATGTTTGATCATCGAACAAGATTATTTTTTTCAAAAATTTTGATAGACTCTTAAGGTTTTGGTTGGTTTCATTGAGCATTACTATTCTATGATTGATGCTTTTGTTGACTCACTTTGGTTTCAATTGCCCATTTCTATTCTTCGCTTGGGATCTCTGGATGCACACTTTTGCTGTCATTTATTAGCTCCTTGTTGTTGATGCTTGTGGAGGTCGTTTATTTCCTTTTCATAGGTGGGCTATGTTGGAAGATTACTTTTCGGGGTTTTTAGTTGTTGGCTTAATTTTGATTATCCTAATAATGTAAGATGTTGTTGCAATTTTCTTGGCAGATTAACTTAAAAGATGTGTGGATTGTTGTTGGTTGGAGATTTCAGCCTTCTTCAGGTTGTTGTTTGGTGTTTTTTTTTTTTTTTTTGATTATTCTTTTCAGATCTTCTATTGCAATGTTATTAGAGTTTTTTTTTCATTTGTTTCAATTTTTTTGGATATTTAACTGATTATTTGGTTATTACACTTTCATTTTTTGGTTTTTTTTTTTAGGTTTTGCTATGATGTACCTTCTCTATTTTTAAGAGTAACCATTCTGCAAAAATTCTATCCAGATAATTTCATCTATTTTTTTTTACTTAATTAAGGATTGAATTCTTTTCAATCATTTAATGAAGTTGAATATTGCATAATTGTTTTATTTTTCTATGATTTAGTGGGTGGAATTTGGTTGCCTTTGTGGATAGATTGTTTCATTGAATTAATATTTGATCATCCATCTGAGACATTTATTTCATAAAATTTGGATGGATTCTTAAGGTTTTGTTTAAGGATTCTTAAGGTTTTGTTTAAGGATTTCAATGAGCTCTTTTTTACTCTGATTGTCGCTTTTAATGGCTACCCTGCCTTCAATTGTCCTTTTCTATTCTTTACTTGGATGCACAACTTTTTGCCTTTTTACTGGCTTATTGTTGTCATAGATAGGCTAACTTGGAGAATTGTTTTTAGTGGGTTGTTAGCTGTTGACTTTATTTTGGTTTGTTAGATATTATAGTCTTTAAATTTCTTTTATTTTACCCTACTTAAGGGTAGTTTAGTCTTTTTGATTATTGTATATATATTCATCTTTTACTCATGTAATGTGTGTTTTTTGATGCAAATAAAACCCTAGCCACTTTTCCTTATCTCTCCTCTTTCTCCTCTTCTTCTTCTTCATCTCAATTTTATTTTGCAAATCTTAACATGGTTATCCTGTAAGATGCTATTGTTGTTCTCTTTGAAGATTTACTTTAAGGATGTTGTGTGGATTGCTGCTATTTAGAGATTTCAGAGACTTCTAGTCATTGTAAAGTGTTATTTCTAATTGGTGATTGTTCCGTTTTGATGGTTCTATTTGTTGTTGTTTCATCTTCTTGTGGCTTATTACAACTGTTCATGTGAACTCTAGTATTTCTCTTTTGTTTATGTTGTCTGAGATTGTTGTTTCTTTTTTTAAGTTGTCCTCTATTGAGTTTTTTGTCTCCTTTTTTTTTAGAATAAAGTTAAGCATGGCTTTCAATTTTTCTCCCAAAACAACATCTCAACCAGTTTCTATGAATATCTCACACAGTAAACTTCCCTCCAAAAACTCTTTGCAAAAGAAAAAGCAAGCAAAATACACCAATACTTAATGCAGAAAAAAAGAGTGATAGAATAAACTGATGACCATCCATCTTCATACAATAGCAGAAAATTAAATATAAAACGCCCTTCAGATCAGCAATCTAACTCCATTTTGAACACAAACTTCTTACATAGTAAAGTAATGTTTTCCCCACAATATTAGACGACGCACATTGGCTACTTTTTATTACTATAGAAAAAAGCCACCAAGACCAACTCTTAATGAAAAGAAAACCAAACTTGTACAATCAACTGCTCATGCAGCGCCATTCTCTCCCTCACGTAACAAAAGCTGATCAAAGTGCCAAACTCCATGTCCTTTGCCAACCCTTCTCAGCTGAGCAACATACTCCGATATCTTCTTTATAGCCTCAACCTAACCAATAAATATATAAAAAAGGAAGAAAATTTTAGGTTTATGTAAATTGATGATTTAGTCTAAATTTAAGTAGAAACATGGAAATATCTTGCAGTTATTTATAATTGCCAATTTATTGCAACAATATAAAAAAGAAAGTTAAAAGTAGGAGTGTAATTGAGGCTCAGCTCGATAGGTTGATTTATGATAAAATATTACAAAGAAACATTTAAAAACAGTTTTATGTCAAAGTCATATTCATAATTGTTAATTACCACAATAACATAAAAAAGAAGCAAAGAGTGTATGATTGTTGATGCAGATGATTAGATGGGAGTAAATTTTCATTCAACGAACCATTAAACTTCTTAATATTAGGTTGGTTGATTTAGAGATTATTAAAAAAAGTAAGACATTCATACATACATACCACTCAATTCTTATTTATTTAGGCATTTAACACCTAAACTTCAAATTTTACATACATACCACCTTACTTCCGCATTAAAGGTGTATTTTCACTTTCTAAAAGTTAAAATGGTGATATTTTGTATGTTATAAGTGAGATTTGGTGTAAAATGCAAAGTTTAAAAGTTAGATTTGTAAATACTTAGGCATTGGGTGGTATGATGTATGTAAACAAATCAGTGAAAAAAGAAAAGTAAAGAAAAGAGGAGAAAATAGAGGCTTCACCTGCTCTTCAAGGAACTCGCCTTCAATGAATTGTGTTGTGTTAGGGTCATTGCAACGTGTTGCTACCTGTTCATCCATATCATCTACATCACTATACAATTTTTTATCATAAAATAAATCAAAGATAGATATATTTAAAGATACTCACGCTGTGTAGATAAAGGAGCTTCTCATTTACAAGCCTCTCAAGAGACAACGCCAACTCCATTGCTACAGCCAAGGAAAGATGAAGAAATAAACATTTAGCACCAAATGGAGATGATTGTTGGAAGTTTACAGAATAACTAGTCCTTAGCCAGACATTTAATTCCTATGCATTACCTAAACTCTACTTTTTACATTGAAATCTTTCATATCAAATTAAAAATACAACCATTTTTTACTTTCAAAAAGTGAAATACATATTTTGTTGTTTAAACCCACAAAACATTTTAGTTCTATGTTATAGAACTAAATTGCTTGTTCAAAAGATCCAATACTTTAACGCTAAACTAGATTGCACTCTACTGTTTTTTTAATGAATGACAAGATTTATTTTATGTATTTAGCACAAACTTGAATACGATATGTATTACATATATAAATTTAAATTACTTTAAAATCACATTTACTTGAGTTCTTTGCTAAAAATTGAAGGAAGGTTGAACTAGTGCTTAGAAAAAGAGAGGCAGATGATTGAGTTTAACATAACTAAATGTTAAATCGAACTAGTAAAATTTGAAACATGTAATGAAGTATTTCACAATATATAAGAATGTATACACAATGCTTCAAAATTTTAAAATAAATGATTTTTATGAAAATATGTGAAAATAAAAGCTTTTTTGAATAATTTTTAAGTGCTTTGGTATAAGGCTATGATAAAAGAAAGAAAGCATTAAATCGGTGATGGTAATCTCTAGCAAAAGTTCATAACTGTTTGAAGGTTGTAAATATAATTCCATTACAAACTTGACCTTAAAAGCTTATATTAACGAATATAAATATTTGAGGCTGGTTAAAGTGTACCCAAAGTATATTCCAAGATAACAATAAATAAATAAAAGATAGAAATATAAATATATTACCATGGAGAGCATCGCCTTTCTCCTCATTTTTGAACTCACTCAATGGCATCAGAATAGATTGGAGCTTCACTCTACCACCACGCTTGTTCTGGTTCAAAAGCAGCATAACATATTAGCAGCCAACGATGCTTCTTTCTTGACAAGAAATGGGGCATATACATATATACCACATGGTTCTTATATATTTACGTATCTAACACCTAAAATTTCATATTTATATGTATAACACTCAAATCTTTTAGATCACACAAAAGATAAGACTTTAAGTATTAGATATGTAAATACATGAGAATTACTAGGTATGTATGTAAATTTCCAAAAAAAAAAATACCATATTCACAAGTCACCTGATATTTCATCAACTTCTCAGCATGTTCTCTCTCCTCCTCGCTCGATTCCTTGAAGAATCTAAGTAACAAAAACCCATAAAAATAGACCAAAATAAACGCAGAAGAAAAAAGCAAGAAGAAGGATTGGTGATTTTAGGCCTACTTGGCCATGCCTACGAGCGCAACATCGTCCCGATCGAAGTAAGCAAACATTGCATGGTAAACGTAGGAAACGTTGTATTCAATGCTGCAAATTTAAATCAAGTCTTGAATCAGACATAATTAATATTGGTGTTAACTTAAAAAAATCAGAAAAAAAAGGTATTATGAGGAGTATGGATAGAACCACTCAAATTCAAGTCAATAACGCAACAAACATTTCCCTCATTTAGGTCTAGTAGGATCCAAGTATTCCTCAAAGATCAAGCCAAAACTATATGGTAGGAGAATTTGGTGTGGAAAAATTTCAAGCTCAAGTACCGCAATTATCTCAAAACAAATTGAATGACTACAAAACCCATCCTAACCAAAATGTAGTTATATGATAACTCAAAACTTTTCATGCTTAGGCCTACATTTGTTTAAGGCTGGTTAATGCAATTAAAATTTGTTTTTGAAGACTGATCATCATATTGCTAAGAATTAATGAACACATGATTAGTCTTGCATTCTAGAAAATTTAATACACTATTATTAGAATCATAATTTAACGTTTTAACATTATACAAAAATTTAACTCACACGAAGATTAAGGAAAAGTCATGGGAGGAGATTATTTTTTTTAACTTAGAAAAACCAAGGAAAGGGAGAAAATCACGGCACCTAAACCAGTAAATAACTAATTTGCTAGGAAATTTAAAGTATAAAGGTCAACTTTTCTCCCGAATTAGAGAATATGGGATTACAAAAGCTGACAATCATGTCTTTATAATGTAGTTTAGTTACAATTATTATAATTGGACACAAAAAACTATAATTAGTGCCTACAATAGCAGTAGTTGATTATAAAAATTATAGTTGATGGATATAATGACATTATTTGGTTGTAGCAATTGCTGCTAATGGTAGACAATCATTTTTGGTGGCTAATGACTAACTCTAATAATCAACAGTAAACTCTAATGACTGACAACAATCATTAGGACTATAAAAGTTAAGCTTTAGTAGTAAGCTCACTCACTTCTCTTCTCTTCCCCCTTTCAAATGAAAAATAGGGCCTTATTTATAATTTTTGAGAGATATTGATAAATTTGACCAACGTTTAAACACTCAATTAGATGGCCTATATTAATTTCTTTGATCATAATTAATTTCTTCAACATTTATGTGCCTTCATGACATCGAAAATGAATAATTTTAAGCTCATCATTGTCTTCTTGTTGAAACAATTGATTTCAACATATATATTGAAAGTTCAACTCCTAATTTCAGCCCTTGTGCCCTATTACGACATACATGATCAACTACGCTCTAAGAGGCTCACAGCTTTTGTAGCTACCGTCTCCAGCTATTGTCGGACCTACTAACGTCACCACAGCTCATCACTACAGCCTATGTGAAAAATTACAACCTATGTGGCTCACATCTCATGCATCACTTGACTCCAGTCTATGGGACCTGTAGGTGACATTCATAACTCACCACTATGAGCCACATGACCAACTAAGACTAATGTGGTTCACAGCTCCTGGAGCTTCCGACTCCGCCCTCATGCCCTACGGATGTCATCAAAACTCACCACTACATCTTATATGACTAATTAAAACCTGCATGGTCCTCAATTCATGCACTTCCGACTCTGAAACCCACAACCTACAAATGTTGTCACATCTTACCATTACGACCTACATGACCAACTATAAACTATGTAGTCCATAGCTCGTGCAAATCCCACATTGGTATGTGTCGCCTAAGAATGTTATCACAACTAACCACTATGACCTATATGATAAACTACGACATACATGGCTTACCACTCGTGTAGGTCTCGACCCCTACCTCCACGGCCTAGGAATGTCATTATAGCTCCTTGTTATGACATGTATGACCAACTACAATCAACGAGGCCCACAACTCACATAACCCCCAATACTTGATCTCTACAGTAGGTTTAAGTTATTGCAACTCGCAATTGCAGCCTATGTGATTAACTACGACCAAAGTGGCTCACAACTTTTGCAGCTTTCTACTATATTGATTGTGGTCAATCAATGCTCCTAAGACAACCATCTAAGACTCACACAATCAACAACTACAATGACTTTCAACTATTGTCTATACGACAAGCTGGTGCCATGGATACCGTTTACAACATTCATGGTGGACTAATGTCTTCATAACAATTGACTACGGCCCTTGCAACCTTTTATCAGTGAGAACTACACTCATTATTAGGGGTATAAACGAGCCGGACACGAGCAAGCCTGGGCTCAGTTCGTGTTCGACTTATTAAAAAATATCATTTTTTATATTTCACTCGTTTATATTTCGAACATTAAAAGTTTGTTCGTGTTCTGCTCATTTGCTTAGTGAATTGAACATGAGCCGCACGCGAAGAAAGAATTGTTTTGACAGCCTTAGTCACACAACCGTAAAGTGTTAAGGGTTAAGGCGAGATTTAAATCTTTCTATTTATATTAAAATATTATTTAAATATAATTTAATATATTTTTATTCTATTTATCATATATATAGTGGTCTGTTGGTGGAGCAGCCTCTCTGAAGATCGTAAGTCCACTCAGGTCCCGGGTTCGAATTCCTTGGTGGCGCAGTTTCACCTTAAGCGAGGTTGTACTTGATTTATTTGCACATCGGGTCTCGCCCCCATACTTAGTGGGGGTTGAGCCCATATGGTGGGTTGGGGACCTCACGTCCCAACCCATTTCTTAAATAAATTGAGCTAAAACGAGTCAAACACAAACGAACAAAACTTTATTCGTGTTTAACTCGTTTATATATTGAGCGTAAAAAATTGTTCGTGTTCGGCTTGTTTGCTTCGAAAATGAATCGAGCACAAACTTCTTAATGAGTCGAACACAAATTGGTCGCGAACAACGAACCGTTTTCATAACCCTACTCATTACAGCTAGACTACGACTATTATTGATAAACCACTGTTGTACATTGATAATGATTATCTTTCTAACTTCATTTTTCCTAATTTAGCAGAACAATGGATATATATACTCATCATTTATAGTTGATTATTTCCACTCGGCTAAACTGCGTGGCTTTTTTTTCATTTCCAAACGTTTACACGCAAAAATCAAAGTGTCTTTTTGCTTACTGTTTAAATATTTTTGAATCTGTGCTCAAGTCTCTTATAATGCCAAGAAACTAAATAATCACTCTACCGCTGCAGACCTTTGCATCATTTTTAATTTATTATAAATAATATATTATGTCATAATATTAGCATTTATGAATTTTACTTTTTCATCTTCTCACGCATGCGAATGAGAAAAATGTACAATCATTTATATAAATAATTTTTGAATTTAAATTTTTCTTGTAAATAATTAAAATACATGATAATTTTGTAGTATGTATGTAAAAGTTAAAGATTCGATTATAAACACAACGTAGCACAGCAGAAAAAAGGCACAAAAAATCCAAAAAAATCCATATCTGATGAAAGAGAAAGGGGGCTGGTTTAAATAGTCCCCATAACTCGTAAAAATAAAACAAAAGTAATCTAAAACAGAGTAATTTAGAACGTCTCACTTGATCTGCTCGTTGATCGCAGCTTCGCATTCATCGAAGTACATCTGACGGGCGAGCGACTTATCAGGCGAGGAGGACACCAGCGCGAGCTCATGCTGGACTTCCTTAAATGGATCAAACAAAAATCCGGTCGAAGCGCTGTCGCTCTCACGTCCAGTAGCAGCCACGATTCTCGCTGCCGACCTCCTCACGATGGGAATCTTCAAAACGCCGGCCATCGGCGCCCGCCGGCGAAAAAAAGCTGCCGGAAAAGAAGCGTCTGATAAAGAAGAAAGAACGGAAAGTGCGGAGGACGACTGGAGAAGCATCTTCACCACAGGTGGAAGCAGAAATCAGGAGAGAAGATGAAGAGTATTGTTTCGGTGAGATTAATGAGTGGCAGAGAAGGTTGATATAGAGGCGGAAGGCCGACGGAGCATGTTTCCTATGTGCAACAGACGGCTTTGATGGATGACACGTGGTCGATAGATATCGATCGGCGGAACGAGCGCGTGGAGGGCTCGTGCTCTCGTGCTCTGTTGGCCTGCCACCACATTGGTGCAAGTCTGCAAAACTAGAACAGATTATCCAACTCACGGAGATCTAAGGATTCTTTTCCTTAATAGTTTATAACCGTCGGATTGGATCTTCCTTATGATCCCAGTAGTATTTTCGCATCAACGTATCAACATGCTTTTTATAAGAATTTCACGACTTGGATGATTGATTACAGATATTTTGTTAAATTAACCAACACGAGAGTTCCATAACATTTTAGTTAAAAATAATAAATAAATCGAATTTCTGGCCTGGCATTTTTTGGCCGTTCCGTAAAGTATTTTTTAAAATAATTTTTTCGTTGATCAGCACTACTTGGAGAACATATCGTCTTTTCTCGTGGAGGCGTCATTTGTACTTTTTTTAGTTCACTCGGCATAGTTCTCTTATTTATAATAATTATATAACTGTTAATCGAAAGTGTGGTCTCGAGATAATTCTACGGGTCTTGTATTGAGATAGTGAGAAGACGGAGGTGTCAAACGTTATTTATTTCAATTAAAAATGTGGGTCGACCAATCAAATGCTCGACTAAATGTAAGAATATGTGACATGTAAATTGGGGGACAATCATTTACAATCCCTTATCTGGTTCTAGGTTTCTTTACAAAGATGGTGAGATGGCTTCTCTTTGAATATCTTTTCAATTCTCTAAAAAAGCCCCTTTTCCAAAAGAGAGTTGTCCGTCTGATTATGGTGATACACCCTTTGCATGAGGGTCAAATTTCACTGTAACAACAATGGGGCCTTTACTGGAGATTATTTCGATTAGGTTGATCAAAGTCCTTCTTGTCGACCGAAATTTTTTCCACCGACCGGATGATTATTAGATGATCGAATAACAACATCAGCGGGCCATTAACTGCCTTCCTTTTCAAGCAGTTATGAATGTGAAACAGTGCCAACATTAGTTATGGATATTGAAGGCTCCTGGAGTTGATTACACATATTAAAAGAAGTAATATTAACTTGTAATGTCTCTATTAAAATAACGACAAATATGTAACTTTACTAGATACCTCTATGATCTATAAATATTGGGTCATTGCTTGACGAAAGATCTAAATTTACCCTCCAAGAACTTGTGTTATTATACACTTAGCTTTATCTCTCTCCCTCTCTCTCTCAATTCCTCTCATCCATCCAACACTCTATACATTGGGTGTGGTTCAAAGGATATTTTTGGATTCAACATCCTAAAATACGCAATGAGCGTGAAATTATGTCGTCAGCAATAAGAGGAGTGTGACACGGGGAAGGAACTCACTTGTGAAAAATCTTTAATGTGGAGTCCGTAAGAGAATTTGTGCAACAAGTTAAGGAACTCTAAGACCAAATAATTGGACAAATGATAGAATTGACTTGCGTAGTACTTGTAAAGAGAGCACAAGCTCCATAAGAATTGAACCCTCGAGGAGAACCAGAACTTGAGACCACAGAATGTATCAAAGGGGTGAAGGAATTGTGAAATTCTAATATCAGGACAGTTCTGGGTCTACACTGAGGTTCAGACCATGATTGAGGCGAATGGAAGTCTACCGTCACCCAAAGAATGAATTCTCTCAATAGATCACTAACACTGGCCCTGTGAGAAATTCAAAATTCCATCTTTGGAATCCTACAAGAGTCGGAGTGATTAAGTCGACCATATCACCTCCTTTGAGTCGATTATACATGTGCTCAAAGTCTCTAACACCTTGAAATGTTGGATATTCTTTACCACTTTGAGGGATTTGACCCTAAGGTGGTTTAATGGCCTCCTGAAAAGAATTATCACATCCTTTAAGGAGTTTAAGAAACTATTGACGGTGTAGTTCTCTAGCGCATGGAAGCCCTGAAAGGAATTACTCTCCTTGTGGCGCTGAAGTGTTGGTTCTTACATTATATTAACCAATGGTTATTTCATAATTATAACCTATAGTATTGATTGTTGGTTATTAAGTTATTTAAAACCGATAGTATGAGCCTATCAGAAACCGTCAGAAACACCCTTTATACATGAGCCATTGTTGTAATTCCTTATTTCATTCTCCCTCATCTGTGCTCGGTCTCCAAATACTGCCCCCAACCCTTCAACCACATTTCACTTATAGTGCACCTGTTTTTGATTTCATATAGTCAAATCAACGGTAATCTCGACTCCAACCATCCTCTATAATATTAGTTAATTTGAACTATCAGTTTCTTTTTTTTTGCGTTTTGAGTTGCTGTATTTGAACAAAAATAAAATTTTTTATTAGGTTTTCTATGTTTTACATGATGTATCTGATTGTTCCATGCTTAGGGCTCATCTATTAAGTTTTCTCACATCTATGATCTAATTTTAAATGTAAAATTTGGATACTGAGCACAAAAATTATTTCTAAGGCCATTTACATGTATAAATCCCAAAACATTTCATTTTAAAAATCCAACATGTTCAGGTTTTATTCATTTTTAGATGGTGCAACGTAGCATACTATGAAAAAGATTTAGAAATGAATTTAACTTAAGTTCAGGAAAACACTAAAAAAATAACAACCAAATCCAATGCTCCGTTAAATCAAATTTTCTTGAATTTCTTCTTCTTTTTTCTCACATTCCATCTTTTTCATGACATTAATCTAGATTTATTAAATCCGATTGTGAGGTGGATTTACTCTATCGTCGCTTTCCATCTAAAAAATTCAAGGTTAGATTTGATAAAATTCAAATTTATTAGATTTGTTAAATCCTATTTAACATTAATCTAGGTTGTAGCCAAACACGACCTTATAATTCTCACAAGAATATAACAATTCATTATAATACCTCAACCAATATTTTTTGAATAAAATTCTCATTGGTTTGATCGTGACATGCGTAAATTAATACATCAGTTTGGTAGTGCAAAAGATAGCACATGAGTGGTAGATTTTGTAAATATCAATGTTTCATGAATTATTTAAGTGATTATCTCTTTGTGTGTCAATATGTAAATTAAGGTTTGAGAGATGTAAACACATAATAATTGTGTGCTAAACATGTGTATGGCCCTTTTTAAAACACAAAATAACATACAAACATTTTGTTTTTATTTGACCTTAATATCAATACAAGATTAGAGAGAGAGTTTTTTTAGAGGGTTTGTTCGTAATCACTGTTTTGGTTTGTTTAAACTTAGAGTTGCCAATTTGTCTGTTTATCATTGTATGATTTTCTTTTACATATAACTCTCTTTCTTGAATCGTCAAAACAATTCAGAGAAGATGATGGACTATAAGATGACAACATATAACAAAATTAGACAAACAAATTAAAATGAAACATGAAGAGCTATTTGACCTAACCCACATTTACCCAAATATTTATGTTCCAGAATATGGCCAAAAACTTGACCCATTTTTATATAGAGGCTAGTGCAATAAATGTAATGTTATAAATTTTAAAGTAATAGTTTTCACATTAAGGGTACTACGCAAATATACCTATTCTTTCAAGTAATATAGAGTTTTCCTTAAAACCCTCAGTACATGCCTTGCAAGTACTGACCATTCAGGAGGTGCAAGAAAAAAACTCGCCAAGTACGCTTTTAAAGTTTACAGTACCGTTTTTTTTTGTACTTTCTACACTGTATTTTTATGCTTATAAAACTTGCATGTTAAACACACTCTATATTTATGCTTATAAAACTTGCATGTTAAACAACGATGCACCCAACATGAAAACCAAAATTGCTAGGATAGCCGTGAAACCAAAACGAAAACTAAAATCAACCAAGATAAAATTCACCACCACAAAATTCAAAATATTAGACAACTCAAAATTTAACCACAAACATCACAAAACAAAAATTGCAACTAAATTAAGACGTCTCTATCAGATGATCGAGAATCCCTCAGAGGAGGTAACATACGGTTGCTAACGAGACTTCCCACGGTCTAAATGAAAGTATGGAACTCATTGAGTTGAGTTCATTTGGACTAAGTAAATCCGATAGAAAATAGTCCAAATGAACTCAACTTTAATATAACTCATAATATTTAAATGACCCTAACCATAGGGATATCTGATTTGACATTATAACTTGCACATTAGAAAACTTGAACTTGCCGTAACGAGGAGCTTGGAGCTAGCATCGTGGGCAGCACAGCCATCTTCAACAGCAAGAGGATCTACAACAACAAATCCTTTATTAGAATTAAACAACAAGCCATAGGATTTTAAGGTTATTTGCTTATGCAACATAAATTCTCAACTCATCTTTAGGCCTTTGTATAACTCTGTTGTACAATCTAAGCCCTAACTCGTTTAAGGATTCTGAGGTTGTCGTTTGTCACGACCTAAATCCGCCCATTATCCAAGTTATTTGTGTGATTGTTTCACACGAATGTAAGCCCTAAACTAATAAAATTGACAAGATGAAACATTCAAATACTTCTCTTTAAACTGAAGCCAAATCATAGGATAGACTAGGAAGTCACCGAGATTTTTCTCCGGATTCATGACATCCCCTAGTTCTTCCTCCTTTGAATTCTACAATAAATGCTCCAAATTTGAGTCATTCCTCCAAATTTGAGTCATTCCATTTGAGTCATTCCCCTTTCACATCTCTTTGTCTGATCTCATTTAAAATTCCTATCCTTTTGATTTTTTTGAAGATAATATTCCTGATTTTATCGAGAGTTTTCTTATGTGACTTCAGTTATCTAAGATGTAATTAACTATAGGGGCTTGCCCTTTTAGGAAGCTTTTCCGAACCCAGCTTAATATAAACCCTATTTAATTCTTCGTATTAAATAAGAGAACTTGTCGGCAAATAAAAGGGGTCGCAGACTAAACAAATGTCATATATTTCTTAGTTTATTTGAT